ACCAGCAGCACAGCAGCAGCGCCCAGGTGCCGGCCGCCTCCATCTCCGCAGGTTGGCTCCTTCTCCAGCTCCCAGACGCTCCACGCCGTAGGGCAGCGCCCTTCCCAACTAAGTCAGGTGGGGAGGCGGGGCAGCGAGCTCCCCACCCTGGCCTACCGCCAGTGTTCTCTCCCCGCCGCCGGATTTCTTTCTCCCAGACCGCCGCCGCCGCCTGGCGTCGGGGACACACTCTCTTCAGTCTCTCACTTTCGGGGGGCGGAGAGAGCGCTTTGGGCCCCGAGTAGGGCGTGGACAAACTGGGGGAACCTGGAAGCCAGAGACTTTGGCAGCCTCTAGGAGGCCACACCCGGAGCCTGGCGGCGATCACCCCGCCCCCTGCGTTCACCCCCAACACCCTCGCCATTGCCATCCCCCGGTCCCACCTCCCTTTTCAGTGTTATCAGGGTCCAGTGTTTGCATGTGCGTGCCTGTACGGTGTCTTTGAGCCAGTTTCCTCCAGCACCTGACATCTGCACCGCGAACTAGGAGGAGGGACTTGACCTCTAACAATAAAGAATGTGAGGTTCAGAGAGGTAAGTCCTAGGCCACACAGCTAGCAAGCGACAGCGCTGGGATTTGAACCCAGGCCAGTCTGCATGATCGGTTGAATCATTCATGTATTGAGCAGTACGCATAGTGGTTAGGGCCATCCAGTTGAAGCCAGACTACCTGAGTTCTGTGGACAAAAAGGGGCCACATGCGAACCTGACAAACTCTGGGGCAGCCTTGCAAACTCAGAGACCTACAGTAACCACAAAGGATGGTTGAAATTAAAACTTTTAAACTAAAAGCAGTTTATGGCAGGTAGTCATGTCTTAGGCTAGAATCTTTCCTGACACAAGTCAAATTTGGCCGTAACTAAGCCTGTCTATTATCTTTTGCATCCGGGATACCATACCTTTGGAATGTCAGGGTAACTCCCCTTTTCTGGATCCTCAGGCCACAACCAGTGCACCAGGGTAGAGACCATAAATCCTTTCATTTATTGTTATGTTCATTGTTGACTGTTAACTCTCCTGTACCACCTGTGTAAAAGAAGTAGGTGTCTATCATTTTACTTTTTATCCAATCCCAGAGGTTTCCCGCTTTGCTTTCTCCACCTCTTTAATCACAAATGAATTTCCTGTAACCCACTTAAGTCTTCTTTTTTGATTGTAATGTATAAAATAAGATGTGAAACTGCCATTCTCTGGAGCATTATCTCAGTCCGTTGAGTTTTTGCTTCCTGGCAAGTGTTGACAGTTTGGCTTAAATAAACTCACAAAAATTCTCTATAGGTTTGAATGCTTCTTATATTGACAGTTTGAAGCCTAGCTTCTTTGTCCCTCTGTTAACTCTTGTAAAATAGGGATCGTTTTCAAGATTAAGTAGGTACAAGTGTGTACACAATTTAAAACAAGGCCAGGCCCTAACCGGTTTGGCTCCGTAGATAGAGTGTCGGCCTGCAGACTCAAGGGTCCCGGGTTCGATTCCGGTCAAGGGCATGCACCTTGGTTGCGGGCACATCCCCAGTAGGGGGTGTGCAGGAGGCAGCTGATCGGTGTTTCTCATCGATGTTTCTAACTCTCTATCCCTCTCCCTTCCTCTCTGTAAAAAATCAATAAAATATATTTAAAAAAATAAATAAAACAAGGCCAGGTGAATATAGCACACGTGTTAAAGGCATGTTAGCTAATATTCTTTCAACTAATTGTTATTGAGGTCTAACTACAAACAAGACTTTCTTTTAGACCTAGGGATGCAGCTCTGAGTAACAGAGAAATGGGCCCTGCCTCCTCCCTGAACTCTTATCCACAGGCAAATCAAGTCATAAATTAAGATTGTCATGGCCATGGTTGGTGTGTTCAGTGGTTAGAGTGTCAGCGCTGGAACAAAAGGTTTCAATTCCCCGTTAAGGGCATGTACCTGGGTTTCGGGATTGATCCTTGCCCCAGTCAGGGTGTTTTTGGGAGGCAACCAATCGATGTGTCTCTCTCACATTGATGTTTCTCTCTCTGTCTCTCTCTCTCCTCCTTCCCTCCCTTTCATTCTCTCTAAAAATCAATGGGGGGAAAAGATAATTTCAGGTAGTGCAAAGGCCTGCCAGGGGGATGGGCTTGTTGAAGAAGATGGTTACAATGCTGGTCCGTGTTGTTTGGTTCAAAGCTGTATCTCTAGGGTCTAGAGCAGTGCCTGGCACACAAGAGGTGCTCAATAATACTTGATGCATCAAAGATTGAATGTAGGAGATGAGGTCAGTGAGGTTGAGATGGGCCAGGAAGCCAGGACAAGTAGAACGGGGAAACTGAGATAGATGGCTGAACAAACTGACCAAGCAATTTATAGCAGATACACGTCACCTCCCTAGAGATAATATTTCAGCTCCAGGCCCAGAAAAGCAGCAAAACCAGGTGGCCTACACCAGGACCAGCTGCAATGACTGATGACCTCCTGCCCTAACACTGACCAATCAGTAAAAACCATGACCCTGAAGGAGCACACCTAGAAACTGATGAATATTCCACTGAAACTCTCCCTGAGACTTCCCATAAGATTCCTGTCTGCAAGAGAGATAAACCCTCAAGACAAAGGACCCCTACACCCAGGTACATGCCCTTGACCCGGAACTGAACCCTCGACCTTTCAGTGCCCAGGGGAAGGGGGATAGGGTGGGGGGAGGGTGTCACTCTAACCACTGAGCACACTGGCTTTCCCATTGGAAGTGTTCTAGTGTTATTGAGAATGGTCCCTATGACAGCCAGTTGAACTACAGTAAAACCTCCATATAATGGACTAATTCAGGTGGTGGGGTATCTGTTAAAGCCAAAAGTCTGTTTTATAATAAAGTAGGTTTTCTAAGTGCATATGTTAGAAAATTGACAAATTAGTTAATCTACCTGTTTTTAGTTATTTAGACACATTTGTGTAATTAAAATTAAGTATGTATGAAAAGTTTAACTTTACAGAAAATTTCTATATGTATTACTGTAATTTTCAATTTATACTGAATAGGCCTAGTAAATGGCTGCATTCACCAGTCACTGCGGGTAAATAAATGCACATGGCTGGGGCCTGGCTTAACACACATTGGAAGATAGGCCAGCATGCCATTAAAACTGCTGCAGACACACTGGACAGTGTGCTCAGTGGTTAGAGCGACACCCCCTGACCCCCGGGCACTGAAGGGTCAAGGGTTCAGTTCCTGGTCAAGGGCATGTACCTGGGTTGCTGGTTCAATCCCTGGCCCCTGGTCAGGGTGCATGTGGGCGAGAACCAATCAATAAATGTTTCTCTCTCTCTCTCTTTCCTCCTCCTCCTCCTACTCACTCTTCCACTCTCTCTAAAACTCAATAGAAAAAATATCCTCGGGTGAGGATTAACAATAATAACAAAAACTGCTGCAGAAATTCATACAAAGAAGCAATAGAACTGGTTACCACACAGGATGTGGTGTGATCACTTGCTAATCATTTGCTGAACGTTGTTTATGAGAGATGATTCTTGGATTTAAATATGTTAGATTATAGTTGTAGATATGTCATATTTATTTATATTAGTAAAATTACTGTAGTGTTTTTTCCAATATAGGGCCTATTTGCTAAAATTTGTTAAAAATAACAGTGAAATATTAACAAAAAATAACCTGTTAATTTAATTATAAGCAAATCTTGGTTAAAAACATTTTTAAATTAACAAGGTTTTAATTTTCACATATGACATACACGCCAGAAATTTTGTCTGTTAAACACTAAGTCCATTAAATTGAGGTCCGCAAAATTGAGGGTTTATTGCCTGGGTTTTAAGATACAAAGTAGAAGATCACATTTTCTATCCAAAAATTTCCAAAATCCAAGGGAACCATATGAGTCCATAAATGTCTAGTCTGGGCTTCTGCATCCAGGATAGTTGGCCATTGTTTCATAGCTACTTCTGATCCTATTTGCCTTAGCATAGACAATAGGCCCTGTTGAATTAGGGAACAGGCATGTTCCCATTGTTGAGTTTGTGCATGAGTTTTTATAGTCTGCTGAATCTGTTCTACCCATTGAGCTAAGGCCTTATTGTCTTCCCATGCTGCTTCCCACCCTTTTCCTTCTTCTAGAAACATCATTCCCTCCATATGACCTATTTTAGATGAAGAGTCTTTTTCTAATGAATAATGTTTTTCATTAACTACCAGTTCAGCTTGTCCCAGAATATCAAGGCCTGCCCCTACTCCTCCAAGTATTTCCCTTTTATTTCTTATTTAGAGAGCCAATATTGTTGGACCTACCAAGAATGTTGTTGCCATTGGGTAGCTATGGCTTGGGAGCAGTTAAGGTATACGGAATGCACCCCAAAATGTTGAGTTTCTCATGCTATAGTTAAATGGGTAGAGGTAACTCCAAAATGAGCTAGAGTTTGAGTATTCCATAGGACTTCCAGCAAGTGCCCAGGATGCAAGAAGGGTGGGGTAATTACAGACATATCTACCCATCAAGTAATACTGATAATTTCTAAAATGGAGACCCATTGATTTTTTCTGGTTTCATAAGAGCATGGCTGGTGAGTCTGAGGACAAGATATACTATGACAGATAAGGACAGGTTGCTGCAAGCCTTTTCCCATCATATCCAGGTATTTTTCTTAGCTTTTCATCATCCTTTCCTGTAGCTATACAATACTCATCAAGATAAGAGCCATATATAATTATATCAGGGGAATTATTAGGGAGATGTTCTTGGAGGTATTTGTCCAAAGTGGGTCCTATTAATAGATATTTCCAGAAAAAAAGTACTAAAGCTTATATTAATAGTAGAAGAAGACCAATGCGTGGCCAACAAAGCATTAACTTCATTATCACAACTGATAATCAGAATATCATTGTCTAGTAGGTGGGAAAGACTAGCAGGTACACAAATTAAAATTTTCATATCTAATAAGGGAGAGGGCGTGGGGAGACAGATATTGTTTACATTAGGAAACCATAAGGAGGATAATAACAAAATAAAAATCATTTTATGTTTACTTAATTAATAACAATTAGATTATATAAGAACAAGGTATGAGTAGCATTAATTTGTGAGCATAGAGGCCTGGCTGGTGTCTCAGGATAGCTGTCTGCTTTCCATGTTAGTGGCTTCTCATCCTTGAAAAGTCTTTGATCTCCGCTGTAGACAGAGGCGAGTGTCAGAGACAAGAGTGCATGTCCATTCATAGTTAGGTGCCTTTTTCAAATGAGAAATGTGAATCCATGAGTTAACTCCTTTGAGTTTGGCTGCACATGGGTTACTTATTAATACCTGGTAAGGTCCCTTCCAACAAGGTTGGAGAGAGTTTTTCACTTGATGTCTTAAAAAATATATATATATTGATTTCAGAGAGGAAGGGAGAGGGAGAGAGAGA